CGTCCCGTGTCTTCCCGCCTCGCTCGGGCCCGCGGCCGGGGTCCCTCCCCGGCGTCCCACCCCGCCCGGATGCCGAAGGTGAAGGCGCTGCAATGCGCCCTGGCGCTGGAGATCCGCTCAGTGAGTACCGGCCGCTGCCCACCCCGGCCGCCGTGAACGTGTCTGAATCCCAAACCTCCACGACCCCCTCCCGGCGGCCGCTTCCGATCCCCAGATCACCCCCGAGTCTTCTCTGGGGGTCGCGGCCGACCCCCAGACCACTTGGATGTACCCGTTCCGCGAGTCATAAACGCCCTCCGCACCAGCCACAGGAGAGGCTGGCCACTGGACACCCGGTTTATCGGTGCTTCATCTCAACGTCCACGTTGGGCCATTGTACCCGGAGGAGTTCCTCTTCTTACTCCCAATTTTCCCGAGAAGGTGACGCACAAGTGCTCTGTCCTTCCTCCCAGCGCAGGAGTAAGGGGACATTCCCTCTTAAATGACTGCGGGCGGTGGCGGTCAGACTCTTGTGCAACTTTGTGACCCGAGGAGGGCCTGTCCTGTGAGTTTGGAATGCGAAATCCCCACGGCCCACTGCAGGATTTGTGCTCCTCTTGGACAGAGCCCCGTACTGACCCTGCAGGAAGTGAGCCCGGAGCACCTTTCATTTAGAACCAGAACTCTCCCTTCAGCCTCCTTCACCCCTCCACGCCCCCCAGTGCCCCGATCTCTCAGCCCCTTCTCCGGGAGGCGTTTGGGGGACGATGTGGGGCCCAGCCCTTTGACAGGCTCCAACGTCACTCCACTCTCCCTCCGGGGTGCTGCCCGAGGGGGCTCTCCATTTCGCCCCCTGCCACCCTGCCAGCAATGTTTTCCTCCACATTATGTGCTCATGCTGGCAGTTTGCTGGCCATCTGTCCTGACTGGAGAATGAGGCAGCTGCTGCACAGGACTGAATGTCCAGGGAGGTCACCGGACTGTGGCAGCGTTTTTGTTCGTCTTAAAGGAGTGAAGATGGGATGGGGCAGAAGGACTGGCAGGGTGGAGGAGAAAAAAAGTTTCCGAGTCTCTCATATCTTTAAATAAGCACAGATTTTACTCACTGCTGGGTCGGGGTCTCCCTAGCCCTCGCTTTAAATGTTTTTGTTTCACAGCCGAGGTCTCCTTGCTAACTTTTTGTAGAGGAAAATAAAGAACAAAGGCACTTGAGCTTCTTAAACCCCTTATTGTGTAGGCTCATAGACTCGTCTTTGGCTTCTTCCGCCTCTGCTAAGCAATGGGCTTGGCAGCCTGCGGAGTGCAGCTGTGAAGAGGATGCCTGCTGCAAGCCTGGCCCATGCAAAGTGAAGGAAGTACTTTGTTCTTTCATTTCCCTTCCTCTTCAATACCAGCCGCCCTGCAGAAAGTGAGTGATAGTTTAGCGGTGTTTTGTTTTTAAGCAAATGCTAAAGAAAATATGCAGGTGGCAGCATTCCTCCATATTGATTTGCTACAAGCATACATCAGGGTCACAGGATTTTGTAGTCAGATGATCTTAGAACTCATCCTCTTTAACCCCTTCTTTTTACAGATGAGAAGATTGAGGGCTGGCCTGGTTATTTGTCAAGGGCTGCACAAAACTTAGTGACAGATCCACAAAATGGCTATGGTGCTTAATTTTTTATAATTTAAATAATTAAATTATTGCTTAATTTTTTCTTCTAGAGCTTCTTTTTGTAACACTCAAAGAAGCAAACACACACACACACACATTCTCATTTCTCTTCCAGTCTTATGCAAGAAGTGGTATGTAGCATATTATAGAAACCCATTTTTAGTATGTGAAGCTTGCTTAAAAATTAAAAAATAAAAACAAAAAACAATCCTGGAGATTAATCCTTGTCACTGGAATCTATCCCCTCCTCACCTTTTAAATCTGAAAAAATCCAAACATGTGGAGTAGTTGGAAAAATAAAACCCCAAACCAAAGCTACTGCCCTCGCGTCAACTTCAATTCGTAGTGACCGTGTTGTAGGTTTCTGGCGCTGTGAATCTTTATGGTTGCAAAGTGACTCATCTTTCTCCCAAGGAGTGGCTGGTTAGATGACTAGGACAATGGACACCTGTTCATTATTAATTTGGGTCATTTGTATATATGTATAAGGAACACTGGTTAAAGCACTCAGCTATGTAGAGACAACTTCATGATTCAAACCCATCAGCCACTCCGGGCCAAAATACATTGACTCTTATCCAATCTTCCTAAATCAGTGTCCAACTTGCACATGCATATGAGATGATTAGAATTACCATAGCTCAAGTTCAGCGTCCTCACAGTTAACATTCTTGTTTTTCAACACTAAAGAAGTTTTGTGCAGTGAATTTGCAGTGCAAGGCATCATTTGGTCTTTTCTCTATGGCTTCCGTGAGCATTGATTGCGAATCCAAGCAAGATGAAATCCTAGAAAACTTTAATCTTCTCTCTGTTTTTCCACTCTGTCCAGTTGTGAAAATTTTTGTTTTCTTTACATTGAGTTGTAATCTATATTGGAGGCTGCAACTCTTGATCTCTATCAGCAGGTGCTTCAAGTCCTTACTTTTAGTAGGCAAGATTGTCTCATTTACTATCAAAGGTTGTTAATAAGCCTTCCTCCAATACTGATGCTATGTTCTTCTTCAGATAGATATTGACTGACAGTAGAGAATACTAGAAAGATATTTACTTGTGCTTTATTGACCATGCAAAGGCATTCAGTTGTATAGACCATAAACTATGGATAGCCTTGAGAAGAACAGGCCTTCTAGAACACTATTGTGCTCATCCAGGACCTGTACATGAATCCAGAGGCAGTTGTGAGAACAGACCACGGGAATACTGCATCGTTCAACATCAGGAAACCGGTGTCAAGGTTGTATCCTCTCACAACACATATTCAATCTGTATGTTGTGCAGATAATCAGAGAAGTTGAACTTCATGAAGAAGAATGCAGAGGGAAGAATCCCACTTGACAGTTAGCACACAAATGATTCCGTGACATTACATTTATGTATGTATCAAAATGTTACCAACATTCTCTTTACTTCCCTTTTCCAGTAGTTTCCACGACCCTTAATCTTTGCTTTTGAGTAATTGCTGACCCTTTGGGCTCATACTGATGATTTTTAAGTATGACACCAAGCTTATGGGTGATATAGCCTTTATTTCATGTGCCACTCTGCCAAACTCACGGCCATTTTAAAGCCACTAATGTAGATTCTCACTCATAGCGACCCTATAGTACAGAGTAGAACTGCTCCTTTGTGTTTCCGAGACAAAAATCTTTCCAGAAAGAGAAAGTGTTATCTTTTTTCTGAGTGGAGACTAGTCGTTTTGAACTACTGACCTTCTAGTCAATATCCCAGTGCTTAAAGCACTATCCCATGGAACTCCTAGTCACTCATCTATTTCTCTGAAAAATAATCCCATAGGATAGGCTTGGTTTTTGATTTAAAGAATGTCTCCAGGTGATACTCACAGTGAATCCTCTATTTCCTACTTTTCCAGTTTTTCTGGCAATTTTAAATAAGGATTTGAACTCTCCCTATTTTCTTCCATTCCATCTGGGACCAACTCTTGTGATCCCAGTCAGAAAGACCTGTGATCATAGCTGGGTGCATCTGATTCTCCGGTTACTTGAGGTTATGGCTCACATAGACTTGTTTCTTCTCTGTACTTTTAATTACCTGCTTACTGTTTTGTTCCTGGCGAGTAGAGACTTGTAATTGTGTCTTAGATGTCCACTTGCAAGCTTTTGAAGTCTTAGATGCTACTCATTCTACTAGGGCACAGATTATGATTTTGTGAATTATGTTATGCCAGTTGACTTAAGTGCTCCCATAAGATAAGGTCCCAAGTCTTCAAATCTCGAAAAAACAATGTTGGAATGTGCTTTATTATATCTGAGAAGTATTACTTGCCTCTTCACTAGTAATGTTGTGTGTTATGTGTTGTGTTGTTAACCACAAGGTTGTCAGTTCAAATCTATCAACTGCCCTGCTTCCAGGAATTTTATGGTTTTAGACTAAGCATTTAATATTTTGATGTAATTTGAGTGAGTTTTTGTTTATGTTGTGAGGTATGGCTCCTGTTTCATTTTTCTGCAAGTGGATATCTAGTGTGCCAGCACCATTTATTAAGTTCTGCCCCACTGAATGAACTTTGGACCTTTATTGAACAACAGTTGTCCATAGGTGTCTGGGTTTAATGCTAAGTTCTCAATGCTATTCTACTGTTTAATATCTACCATTTAACCAATACCAGGCTGTTTTGATTATAGTGGCTGTTCAGCATGTTTTGATATTAGGGCATGCAAGCGTGTCTCTTTTGTTCTATTTCTTCAGTATTGCTTTGGCTATTCAGGGTTGATTTCCTTTCCAAATGATGCTGATTATTAGTTCTTTCATGTTAGTAAAGAATATTCTTCGGATTTGTATGAGGCTTGAACCTGTAGATAGCCTTAAGTAGAACTGACATTTTCACTATATTAAGTCTTTCAGTCCATGAACGTGGGATGCCTTTCCGGTAGAGTTTATAGTTTTCATTGAATAAGTCGATTATGCCTTTAGGTATTTAATAAGTTGGAGGCTGTTGGAAATGGTATTATTTCTCTGATTTCTTTTTAAGAGTCTTCTTTGTTAATGTAGAGGAACCCAACTGATCTTTATTACTGTTCTTAGATCTTGCAACATTATCGAATTCTTATTTTAGCTCCAGTGCTTTTCTTGTGGAATCTTTAGTGTCTTTTGCCTGCTGACTGATCCTGTCATTTCTGAAAACATCTCCCTTTCTGATTTGAATATCTTGGTGGTGCTGCGGGTTGGGCATTCAGCATGCTAACTGAAAGCTTGGTGGTTTAAACCCCTTGCCACTCTGCTCGAGAAAGATAAGGCTGTCTGTTTTCCTAAAGATTTACAGTCTCAGTAACGCTGTAGAGGTTCCCTATGAGTTGAAAGCAACTCGATATCGGGATGTTAGAGTTTTTTGTTTTGTTTAGCCTTGCTTTACTTTCTCCTTTTTGTGTGTTAAGGACTTCTGGTACAATGGTGAATAAGAGGGGTGATAATGAGCATCCTTTATCACCCAAGCAAAGGGAAGACACTCAGCTGCTTTATGTTGCAT